CACCAGGCTTTGTGCTGACAGACGCCACTGTAGTTGGAACAATCTCAGAGCTAGAAGGGCATGAGGCCCCTAAAACTTAAACCCTAACTTCTCAGCCACAAACCCTAACCCCGAACATCGAACACGCTAGGGCAATCATGTTCCTACTTCGCATCATCATCGGTCAAGCTGGTGGTGGCCACCAGCATTATATCCCAACAAAAAAGGGTGTCTTTAAACACGTCCAAGTGTTGAAACCCGCTGGTCTGGCATGCAAGTGCTTGCACTAAGTGAGGTGCTCACAAGGCAATTGCTCTTCTTTCGGAATGATTTTGGTGCCGATGACGATCAAAACAAGCAGACCTGGGCACTCTCTCGGGCATGATGTGGCACGGAATACATTTTTGTGCCGCCCGTGTAACTCAAATTTCGTGACAGCCTGCTTTGATTGCGTAGCGAAGCGCTGATTCCACTCTGTTGTATCAGGGCTGCGGGGTGGTCCAAAAAAAACTGCAAACATGCATGTCAAGGGTTAAATGCTTGGTAGTTGCTCTGAGGCCTCGCAGAAGGAACCGCTGCAGCCCACAAGACCTCTCAGGAAGTGAAGGGAACATTTAACACACCCAACCGGTGACCTTCGCTCTGACGGGCGCACCGAGCGAGAGGTTCAGGGGCACGTTGCTGCCACCATTGTGCCTCGGCGCGAGACGTTGCTGTGAATCCATGCTGTGAATGCCTTCCAAAGGCAGACCCTCCGGGCTGCCGGCAAGCGCACCTCGGCACTCCAAATTGAGCACTGCGGCACTGCGAGTCCTATAGGCCGGGGGCCATGCGCGGCTGCCGGGAGAAAGGAGGAACACCTGCCCGATGCGCGTGCTTTGTGTGCTTTGTTTGAGGATTGGTGGTGCTGAGTCTTGGACGACGACTTCCTAGCACCAGGGCTATTTCTGCTCTCTGTCTAGCCCTCTTGCGCCACTGCAGCTTCATGCAGCGTCTCGATCCTTGTTATCATCCTCATCGCAGCAACTTCCAAATACCACGAAGAATTCGAAGAGCGGCATCCCAGAACACGTTTACCATTTGCTACGCTGCAACGGGAGCACGGTTGCCACGCCACCGGGCGTGGAGTGGCGGCGGGCCGGAAGTGCGGCGGGGGAAACGGGGAGCAAAAAGTCTCACTGCTGGGTTCCCAGCTGCCTTAAACAGGAAAACCAGAAGCCAGCCGAACTCCGAACACCCCGCCTCCGAGTTGTAGTGTATGTAAGGCACCTCAGGAAGGCCAAGGCAGCGTTTGCATAAAGCCCTCGAGTTGTGGGCACCAGGCATCTGCGCTTGGCAGGTGCTGCTGTAGCAGTGCTGCAGTGGACGGCATCAGCGCCTTGGCCACGCGTTTCGGAGGGGGAGAGGACCCTGCTGGACCGAAGCCGTTGAGTGCAGGGCACAAGCATCCTGACGCAGCGACTCTGAGTGTTGTTGAAGGGGGGTGGCTGCAGCGCCTCGTTCCATTGCCGGCCCACGTAGAGCTGTAACATGTCCTCAGTCGTCTGCACAGCTGCTGCTGCTGCTGTGCTCTCCCTCGATCACTGAGCCCGAAGCCCATACTCCTCAAAAAAGAGTCGCGTCTAAGTGGTTGCACAATTTCCTGAGCCACCTGGCCCTCTGGCCTGACTGCTCAACCAGATTCGGATAGGCAGGATAGCTCACCTGCGTCAGATGGGTCAGCCAGGTCACCCAGCCGTCCCAGCCCCCGCGCCGATTTCTGCCGCAGCGCCAGCAACTCCTCTCAAATCTATCAAGGACGGAACGTGGAGCAAGGCTTCGCAAAGGCTCACAGCACCAGCTGCGGCCTGCTGGATGATCGGGAAATGATCCTGCCAGACTGGTCCAGGCGAGGACGCACCCAGCTTCTGAGTCAAACGCACCTTTGCTGAAATTTGACGTCGGCATCAGTTACAACGGCTTCCCTCCCAAATGAAGCGAGGGGAGAGGTGAGTCGTTGCCACTTTTCGACGCACGAGTTTGCGGCCGACGTCTGTACAAGCATGGGCAACACAAGCGTGTTATGGAACACAACAGGGTTCTCACAACAAGAAATATACAAAACGACCGTCCATATATTGCCCCCATATCCGACCCCGCAGTCTTCTGTCACGGCAAGAAACCATGTCAAGGACAGGTCTTTCAGCCTCGCCTCCGGTGCCTCCCTATGACCCAAAACGCGGACCATGATTTGTTTTAAATCTGCTACATCCAAACGAAGGAGTTCCGCGTTTCACCGACATATATTCACCCAAGCCACACAAGCCAATGACCCTTGCTATGCGGGTTTTCTGGGCGCAACAGGCGCAGTGCCACGAGAGCGTTCTTGGTCGTAGTTGTAGCGCCAATCGCTTGAGTCCGCCTTCCGAAACTCCTGCAACGTCACTTTGACCTCGCGGCATTCATCAAACTCGGACATACGCGCTTCCACCTCCTCAAAACGGCCGGAACTTGTCTCATGTTCCTCGCCGTCATCACCGACTTGAATTCTGCGATATCAATACTGTCGCGACGAGGATCGCCGAGAAAACGTCATCATGGACCTGCGTCAATTGATGCTGGAAGTTGTCCAGCGACTTGGCCCGCGAAACGTTGGTAGGGTTTTCGCTTTAACGTGAAGGCCCGCTAGCACGCAATTCGTTTTCCACGCGACTTTTTCGCGTGATAATTCCACGTGCAAATGCAACAAAAGGTCCTGGGCACTTCACCAAGTCCCACTTGCAGGTTTCAGGCCGAAAAGCCTCAGGCTTGATTTTGCCTTTGCCCATTTCTGGGGTGCTGAGTCAAGTCCCGGCCGAGTTTCAGGGATTCCAAACATTGAAAACGGATCGCAGGCTTGCGAAACGCAGCACTTCAGCCCAAACGCGTAGTCAAAACCTGTCCAGACACTTTTAACTTTTGGAGCAGGTTGGACTATAGGGTTTCTGCACGAAGCGCAGCAATTCAGCCGAAACGCCTAGTCTACGCCTGGCCCAAACCTGTCCAGACACTTAAGACTTCATAACACTTCCAGGCCCTCTGAACCTTGTAGGTTTGGGTGAACAGGTGACTGAACGTGTGTGGTCAAGCTGAAACCTGGCAAAGAACAGACCGACTTCGTGCAAAAAGCGTCTTAAAGTTTTGGGTTTCTTCTGGGTTTGGGATCTGCAAGTTTCTTTCAGAGCCTCGAAACATTCATTCACGTAAGGTTCTGGGATTGCAGGGCGTTGCAAGCCGTGAAGCAGGAAGGCGTGACAATTTGTAACTGTCGACCCAAAGCGTACACTGTACACCCTTTTTTTTAACTTGTAGGGTTCCTAAAGGGACTTTGACGGACTTTGACATGTGAAACCATGAACCTTTGAAGGGCTTCAAGGGTTTAAGTGGGTTTGGAAACCTCACAATTCAAGAGTCTTCCATCTTCTTTGGTTGTGACCGCGAATGCGGTGCGCGGTTGTAGTAGAACCCTGAAGGGGATAGGTCTTTGAAAACAACAACATTAAGTATGGGATACGTGTGGTCTACTAGCCATGTAACCATTCCGCAAAAATCCAGACATTCGATTCAAGACTCTTCCATCTTCCCGAGAACTTCCAACGGCAGTCCTTGAGCTTCTGGGCGAGAGGCAGCTGCGTGGGATCCCAGAAGGGCCGATGCGTCAAGCCCTGCAAAGGGAAAGAAGGATAAAGAAGGACTGGAGGCCAGTAACGCGAGGCAATGCGATGATGTGATGGTCGGCTTAGCTTCGAGCGCTGATGTGCACTGCCGGTGTTTGCTGAAGGCTGTCCCAGGTGATGGGGCGCTGCCCTTGCCAGGCGACTGCCCGGGCTTCCTCGAAAAGCTCAGAGGCAGCCTCCGAGAAGCGAGAAGGTACCAGACTCCCGCGGAAGCCTCTGCGGAGCCTGTGTTTCGCCGGCGGCCTTGAGGATGATCAAAGCATTGGCGAAGTGGTAAGGCCTCGGCAAAGAAGCTGCGAAAGCTCAGCAAACCGGGCCGCGGCCGTGGGCTCCGGACGTCGCTCGCTCCTCGAACTCGCTGCGGCTCTGGAACTCCTGGGACGCGACTTTATAGCCCTGGGCTCGGCTCGGCCGGCTCGGCATCGCAGAGGGCGGGATGTTCATCTCCTCCAAACAGCCGGGAGACAAAGCGATCTTCCGCATGTACCTGCGACGGCTGCAAGTTCTCATGTCTCCCCGTCTGCACGCCGCTGCCTGGCGGTGAGCTTGGGCAGCTGGTAGAAGAGCCTTGGCCCCACGGCACTGGTCAACGCCTGGTGCAAAAACTCCGCATCTTCCGAGGCCTCGAGGGCTTCAATGCAGCATCCACGTGTGACGGCTTGTGTAACTTCTGTGACACAGGCTCCTTCAGTAAATCCGGTCTTTTTGTCTGCGCATCCAGTTCGCTCTCAAGGCTCTGCAGCCAGCGAGACAGCTCTTCGAAACCGCCACATCGAGCCTTGGCTCCGGAAATCGCGCGCTCGCAGCCTCCCCAATCCCCGAGCGAACCCGCGCCCTGGTCTGTTCGTTGTACCAAGACTCACACAGTTTCTATGTGCGGAAACACCATGGATTTGTTGTTGAGCTTGCACCTGCCCAAACCTCCATACGTGGTCCGTGCCTCCGAGAGACATCGATGCCAGTTTGGTCTGCCTGTCGCTTGTCGCCCTGCTAGAAAGTCTTGACAAGGATGATAAGTGGACAAAGCGAAGACAGCAACGCGCCCGCGAAAACGGCTTATGATTCCCCCCATGCCAGGCAGGAAACCAGGAAACCAGGAAAACCAGAAAGAGTTCTCTCGACCCCCTTCACGCCAAGAGCCGAGGCCCTGGCCATGGTGCTGGGCCGGTGTCCATCCCGGTCAGGTCGCAGCTGCTCAAGACCCAAGCCTGCACAAAAAAAGACGCAGGCGCGGGGCGCCGTGTCCTTTATTTTTCTGCTCCTCCACCGTCGCCCTCGCCCTCTTTGCCCTCCTGACGATGGCGCAGGCCCCAGTACCCCTCTCACAGCCCAAACTGGCCAGGCCTCATCAGCTCGCAAGAGCCAGCGGCAGCAATCTGCGCTACGCCAAGCGTGCTACACGTCTCGATCACACGGTCGACATGGGAAACAACCCGCTGCCCCGCTCGTCAGCTTTTCGCCCTCCCTGACAACGTGCGAAAAGCCCTGTGTGAAGCCCGTAAGTGCGTCCAACAAATTAAGCTGACGCCGTTGGCGCGGAACCTCTTCACCTTACCAATTCGTGCAGAGTTATGTTTTGTCTTTTGTTTTTGGCCTTTGTTGGTGAGGACGGGGTTGGTTCTCTGCATTTCCATAGGAGGGAACCTCTATTTTCGCTGTATTTTCATAGGACAACCTATATTTGTCACTATAGTTTATTGACAAAACCATCAATCTATATATCAATTGTCATTGTCTTAGGAAAACCTTAATTTGTCGATATTTTATGCAAACGAACCCTACTTACTTTCAAATTTCTCCTCGCCTTTAACGGTACACCTGCATTTTTTTTTCTCTCTCTCTCTCTCTATATATATATATGTTCATAGGAACTCTCATGATTGGGGTGTGGGGTGTGTGTGTGTGTGTGGGGGGGCGCAGCAAACACAATGAAGGAGACTCATATACTTTGAAGTAGCAAGACCCGCTAGTTTTTCATCTAGTGCTGTAACGCCCTGGAAACCCCCTCTCACCGGACGTGCAACACAAGGAAAGTGCTGAGCTGAGATGCGTGCCGAAACCGCCTTTCACCTCCCGAAAGGCGCGACGGCCGTCGCAGCCAATTCCGCAGCAAACTCCTCTGCACGCAGCTTAGCTCCGGGCTGCGGCTTTGTGGAGGGCGGAGTGGCCGTTGAAGTTCAGCAGCTTCAAGTCCAAGCCTCAAGCGGAGCGAAGCATATATCGAAGCGTATAGCGAAGCGGAGCGAAGCGAAGCCGTCCGCGCGTGCGCGCGCGCGCCTTCGCGCTGCAACCAGCGGCACATCTTCACAGATCCTGCGAGGGCCGCCCACTGCGATGCGTTGCAGCCATACCTGAGGCGGTTCCTTCCCCGGCTCAGCGGCTCATCTTTCTGCAGTCAAAGCACTTGTTCTTGGCGTGTAGATTGGCCCGCGCCTGCAGAGCCATTGTGAGCTATTGGCCAGGCTTTCAGAAACCTACCGGCGCTGGCAGTCGAACCTCGAGGAGCCAAGAGCACACTTCCTGAAAAGCAACACACCGGTATTTAATGGGCATGCTGCAGTGGCAGCCTAAATCCACATCTACAAAGCAGATCCTCGTGCTCCTGCCAAACAGCCCAATGTAGCCTGGCATATTCGCAGAGAAATGCAGACTTGATTGGCTTGGTTGAAGGCTCCGACGGCACTGTCCCATCCCGCGTCGGGTCGTCAGGATCAAGCCCACAAACCTTCCAGCAGCACATTCTTGCTGTCTTGCAGAGTCTTGCCTTGCGATCCCTGGCCTCTACCAACCAGCGACACACACCTGAAGGCTGTCAGAACACCCCGAAAGCTGATAAGCCGCCGTGGCCCTTCTTACCGGGGCGCTAGCTCAGGTGGCCGTTGCGTGCAGCCTAGGGGAAGAAAAGGACAAACGTCGAAGACCTCTGTCTAAAAAAGGAATATGAAAATATGTCTCAGGCACTGTCCCAGTGCAGTGCCTGGGTGCAGATGCAGATGCGCGGCAGTGCAGAGCAGAGTTGCAGGCGACAGCGCTCTCTCGCTTGCTGCGAGCGCCGGGCCGTGCGGCGATCCTTTTGCTGCGACGTGGGATCCAACCCCTGCCGCAGGCGATGCCGCCGCATGCAGCGCAGCTCTCCGCCGCAGAGCCGTGTGCTGTCCAGGCCTCGGCCACCAGCAGCTGGCAGGTCTCCAAGTGGCCCCCACCTGCAGAGAGGCAGCGAGAGCACAGCGGAGATACGGCGGCCGCCCGGCCTGCGGCCCAGAGCAGCGCGTTGGAGCCGTGCTGGTCGCAGGTCTGCAGGTCCCACTTCCGAAGCCCGGCGCCGTCTCCGCCTTCGCGGAGCAAGGCCGCCAAGGCCTTCACGTCGCCGGCCGCCGCGAGACCTCGGCGCGGCCAAAAGAGCTCCCGGTCCCGCGCGTCTCGCACTTTTTCCAGGAACCGCGCGCAGGCCTTCGTCCAAGTGGACTCGAGTGCCTCCGACTCGATTTCAGCTTATATATAATATATCTATCTATCTTTTCCCAAAATTCGAATGCAATACAGCTATAAAGTCATAAGGCCCGGTCCTTTGCTGGGCGTCGGTGGCGGTGTCACGGGTGTTCGCAACGGCACAAGCTGCAGCCTGCTCCAATGCACCACGTCCAAAGCCTCCGTCACGGCCTGAGAGCATTGAGAGCATTTTGCAAAACTCGCAGAGACTCGCAGTCGCATTTGCGGAGACGGCCTTGCAGTGCTTCTTGCGCTGGTGGTCCTGTCGCTGAATAGAAGCATGACCATGCGTGGGATCGCTGTCGTGCTCTAGTGCCGAGTTCTGATAACGCGGTGAACGCCTAGACTTAGACTTATCTTTCTGCTTACAGGTACCGCCAGTCTCCATGACACTTGCTTTACTGGGAAGCCACTGCATCGGATGACTTGTTTTCGTGATTTTGGTGTGACAAAGTGGTAGATACGGCGAAGAACAGCCCCAACTCGCAATAGCGTTTTCCCGAATGCGTGCTGACAAAATGCTGCGCCTTTGAGTTGTCGAAGCGAACTGTTCGCAGGCATTCGCGAAGCGTCTGTGAAGCGTCCGCGAGACGCGCGCTGCGTCACGCCCGCGCCGGACCTTTGGGGAAGGCTCTTTGGCGACTCGCGGGGAGTGTCGGCAGCGGCGGGGGTGTTCAATAAATACATCTCTTCTTCAGCCCAGCCAAGAGGGACACGGAGCAAGCCCCATCCCCTCCGCGCGCGAACGCGCCCTGGCTAAACACCTCTCTCTCTCTCTCGCTGAGGGAGAGGCCTGCAGACCCCGCTCGCCCACGAAGAACTGGCCGCAATCAGGGCAGAGGAGCTGTCCTGAAGCCGGAAACTCGGCGGACAGATCTGGGGCTGGGATGCTCCGCATCTTGAACCCATCCTTGCCCTCGTTGCCAGGCCATCTGCTCCTCGCACGTTGCAGAGAGGCGTCTCTCTTCTTTTTCTTTGGTCAGGTCTCTCTAGAGCACCTTGGTCAAGAAGAGGATCTCCCCGACGCTGTTCACCCGAGCCTCGGAGCACCGCCTTCTTTTCCTACGTAAGCTCGTTAAACAAGCCCCTGGCGTGGGCCAAGAGGCCCGAGGCTGTCTCCGGCAAGTGCCTCTCTCAGCCGGGAGGAGGGCGCTGTGCACGTGAGACGTTTGATTCAAAACCCTCATGGCATCATGGCATTCATTCAGATTGCCCTTAGCTGCAAAAGGACTTAACTTCCCATCGTCTGAGGTCCACCTCCAGCCCCCAGCATGTCAGATGCAGCCAATATCATTGTCATTGCGCGCGACTGTCACTACAGCGATACAATATGTTAATATGGATATTTAACTCCGACTACAGCATTGCCAACTCGTGGTGCTACGTACCGCACCACTCCACTACTGCGTGATTGATTGCACGGTGACGACACACGGCACACTGCACAAGCTCATCTTGCAAGAACCCGACTAGAGCATGCTGATTCACGCGACGAGCCCACGACTCTACTGCTTGAACGGTGCTGGGCTTTTGGCACTCAACAGTTTCGGAGCAGAGAGAAAGACGGGGCAAAGGGAAAGCGCCAGAAATTTTGCGACAGCTGGAACAATAGTGTCAGAACCTGGCCCCAAATTACAACCGGCGTCTCTCTGTGCTCTTCTCTCGTTGTCGCAGTCGCAGCTCTGTCTGCTGGGTTGCGGGCTCCAGAAGAACCGCCGCCTTAGACTTTTAGGCATGTGTGGCAAACGGTAGCGGCAAGAACACACAGGAAAGCGAAATCCCGTGAGCTCGCACAGTAATTGAGCACGCACGCATTACAGATGCGCAAGTCTGCGCGTAGGAGGGACCACTGCTGTTCAGGATTTCAATGTGCTACGAGTATATTTCCGCAACCGTGGAGTATTAACATTGCAGTTGTGCATGTGCACACGATGTATATGGTGCATAGAGTTCGCGTGTTCGAGGAGAAGAGAAAACGAGGGATAGAGACGATGCTGATGTGAACGTGCACTGTTTTTCAGGCAACAACATGTCCAATGTAGAATAATAATAAGATCAGAAAACCGACTAAACCGACTGTCGGATGGCTGGCTGTTGAAGCACCCGGTTCATGCCTAGTGAACTGGAGTGGTGAAACGCATATTATGTTCGTCAGCACACACTCGTAAGTAGCTGGCGATGGGATAGGGAAACCCTTTCATGAAGCCTTTTCTTGAGAACCTGCATGATGCTTCAGCATCTGAAACGCAAACCCAACTGGGAGAAACCAAGATCAAGGACAACGATGGGAGCCACTGAGCAAGACCACAACCTCCAGGGGGGTAAGCGCAGCCAAGCACTGCGCAAAGTACGACGATTTCGACTCCAACCGTGACCGATCTTGGTCGTGGCAGCCTCCATTTTCAACACCCTGCCCTCCACCCTGCAACATTCCAGGACTGCACCTACAGTGCGAAAGGATTCACGAAGTTCGCATGGCAGGAGGGTTGTAGAGCAGTGCCAGCACTGTGGATGAGTCTCTGCAAAAGCTGTCGCCAGTTGAGGTCTTGGCCCCTGGCAAGTGCGGCCGCGTCCTCGAAAGTCCACCTCTTCGGCAGCCCACCTGGGCATTCCGCCGCTTTCTGCACTGAAGCGATGCGCAACAGGAAGAGACGCTGCAACAATGTTGACCTCATATTTAGGATCCACCCCCCCCCCCCCCCCCCCCNNCCCCCCCCCCCCGACGTACTGGCAAGATCAATCGGAGAACATAATTTTCATTAATATATAGACACCACCCCTGCATTGCAAAACCCGTGGCAGCCAAGCGGATGGAGCAACTGTAACTACACTACTCCTGCTGCTGCTACTATTGCTGCTGCTGATAGTGCCACGGCCTCAACGCGCGCCTAATCTCAGGAAACTAAATTATTCCGATTGCTCTCCATGCAGAGATGCACCCGGCCTAGGGCGGGGCACGGGATCTCGTAGCTGATGCTGCCGGCAGCTCCTCGGCGAAGCCTCCAAGCGCCCCGCGGCCGCATCCGCCCCGCTCCGCACTGCAGCGCCTGTGGAAGGCGGTCCGGGCCGCGCGGCAGCGGAAACCACCAGAGGCCCCGCCGAAGCGGCGCACCCCTTGCGAAGGCACTCGGAACGGGGGCTCAAAGACGCAGGAAGCGAGAGAGACAGGGAGAGAGGGAGAG